TACATTTTACCAAAACTTTATCCTATATTGTAGACCCGGGTATAGCACATAGTGGATCTACTATCTAGGGGGATCTTCCAATTGTTTTCAAAGTTAATTGGACATATGTCCAAAACCAATTGGACATGTGTTCAAAACTATATGTGGCGCAGTTTTTGTCCAATTTCTCTTGCATATATAGTTAAGAAAATACTAAATTGTCACCCTCGATGATGGCAAGGAAAGAGCGTCTTTTTGTACAAGTTGTCTTTATAGTTACATTTTATTTACCATTATTATTATTTTTTTTTAGTTATTCCCACCCTATCCTGATTATTAGCTTGTTCACTTCCAAAACTTCGTCAAAAATACGTATCACAGCAGACGATTTACGTCACTTAAAAAAAAATTTTTTTTTTACTATTATTTAAAAACATTATGCTTTATACAATAAATCGGTAAAATAAATTCATTTATAATAACTTTTGGTCGTTATCACAATATTGAAAATCATTATTAATAAAGTAAAAAAAATATTTATATTTTTCCGCAAACCAAGTTTGTAACGTTGTTCGAAAAGAAAACATTTGTACAAAGGATGAAAAAATCTCATAGATAATCGGAGTAAAAAAAGCTTATTCTTCACAATCCAAAAAACATGAAGCATCTACAAAAAAAAAAAATAATAATAATAAAATAAAATATAAAGTATAGAAACTACCCCTGTCATACATACTATCTGAAAGTGCATATACGCCTATTTATCATTGTTTAAATCCGACCATCACCTCTTTAAGAAAATTGTTACTAATTCGAATAGAATGATGACCACTATCTCAATTATTTTCTATACTTAAACTCTGCAAATAAAAACTAAGAAATAATGCAAAAAAGAAACAATAAAATTGCTTAGTAAAAAAAAAAATTAGTTAAATTTGTCTTATATTCTTATTGATCATCATAATATCGCCATATACGCGCTCGACAGTCACCAGACCCAGTGGCAAAAAGTTTGCCAGTTGGGCCGTTTAGGGCTGGACTTAAAGCTACCGAAATTACTAAAATAGTAAAATAAAATGAGTAAAAAGTCTATAATCTGAAGACGTCCAATTGAAATCATGAACAATATTTTAAGTTTAATATATACCTGAATTTTTATGACCTTGTAACATAAATTGAGTTTGTGCGTTAATTGGATCCCAAAATTGTACACCACGATCTTTAGATCCTGAAACTACCCAACGACCATCAGGAGAGACTGCAACGGATAAAACGAAGTCCTATTGGCATTAAAAAAAAAAGTTAAAAATCTATAATTCACAAAATTCAAACATCAAAATATATTGAAAATATATTGAAAATATACTTTGTGTCCGTTGAAAGTCATCTTTGCAGAATTCTTTTGACTAGAACCAACACCAGTATTTCTTCCTGGATTACTCATATCCCATAATTTCAAAGTCTTATCCAAACTTCCGGAAACTAACGTTTTACCATCAGGAGCAAATGCAACAGAATAAACACTATCTTTATGACCTTCCAAACGTTCAAGAAGATAACCTGTTCGTGCGTCCCAGACGCGTACTATTTTATCCAATGATCCAGCTGCGACGTAATAACCATCGGGACTAATAGCTACACTGGTTACACCAGCATCCTTTTGACTTGGTTCATCAATTGAGAGTTTATACAATAAATCACCAGTAACCATATCCCAAACTCGAGCAGTTTTATCTCCAGAACCAGACACGATTAAACGGCCATCACGAGAAAAGTCAAGTGAATAAATATCTTGTTCGTGACCTGAGTAAAATGATCTAATAGATTGCTTTTGAATATCCCAAATCTAGAAGAAAAAATGATAGGTAACAAAATTCATAAATATGGTAAGAATTTAACATTTACCAATTACTTGCATATAATTTTCTTACCCTAATTTGTTTATCTTCAGCACCTGTGGCCAAATATTTTCCATCAGGACTAAAACATACACTCCTGATATATAAATCGCCAGTTTTGTCTACATTATTATCATCAAGAACACTTTATGAATAGACAAAAAGTTAGTAATAAATTATAGTTGAACGAAAAATCAATAAACGGGTTAAAATGAATGGAAGCTTACAATAATTTTTGACCATTTACAACATCATAAATTTGAGCACTTCGATTACAACCAGTGGCTAGATATTTCCCATCAGAACTAAATTTGACACAACATACAACACTAAAGAATTATAGGTAAAGAAATTATGAATAAAGAAATAAATAAGACATAATATGATAATAATACAAAAATATAATTAATTTACCTATTATGTTCCAATGTATGGAAAAGATCAACATCAAGTGCTCGTTGTACTTTTGGATTGAAGCTTTATGTAAACAATTTAAATAATGAAAATAATATAAATAAAATCAAATAAATAAAATAAATAAAATAAATAATAGATAAAAATAATGTGATCAATGTAAAAAATAATGTTAATGATGTAGATGACAAATTTATTAATAAAAAAAATAATAATTTTAAAAAAAATCATACATTGCAAACCAATCACCACCTTCTTTTTTTAGTTGAGCGGGTACAGTATCAGGATCCATATCACCTAATGTTTGATTACTACCACTAAGCGAACCTTGCTTTATTGGAGCACGAGTTCCTGGTAGTTGAGCACCCATATTTTGATTATTTTTTCGTTTGTTATTTGAGGAAACCGCTTGTGAATTACCATTGGTAGGGACACCAGAGGATTGTTGATCAGGACCACCAATACTTTGAGGAATCTGTGGTATTAAAGTTACAGGCTGAAATCATGATAATATAAATAATCAATAAAATAGAGATAGATAAAAAATATAAAATAACCACTTAAGGGTTTAAGGTACCTTTGAAATTTTGCTACCAGGTTTACTACTTGGACCAACGGGAGGAATATAACCTTGAGATATGGGTTGACCCTGGCCAGATTGAGGCGGAGGGATACTATTGTTACCGTACAAAGGTTGAGATTGTTGAGAGCTAGGAGTCATACCGAGAGGATTTTGAGGACCGGCAGATGAAACGCCATCCTCTATACGAGGTCGTTTAGGAGTATGAGGTTGTGATAGAGTACCTGGAGGACCGCCACCACCATTAAGATATGGAGAGTGAGCAGAACTACCTCCAGCTTGTGGAACACTCTGAGGAGGACCACTAGGACCAGGATAGTTTCCCGGGTGGCCAGGTTGATTTGTTGGTTGTTGTGTTGGATCCATGGACATTTGAGGAGGAGCAGCAAGGCCAGGGGCGCCATTACCACTAATGATACCACCAAATAAGTTACTTTGACCCTGTCCAATGGTCGGTGGGGGAGGTTGAGGATGTGATGGAGGAGGAGGATGAGTACTTGTAGAATGATGAGGATGCAACCTTTGTTGGTCAATTTCACGTTGAAGATTGCGCAGATCGTTATCATACCTTAAATTAAAAAGGATAAGATAGTATAATGAAACATTAAGGGAAAGATCAAAGAGTTTAATAAATATAATAAAAATTTATAAAGAAAATAAAAAAAAAATAAAAATAAAAATAAAAATGACAATAAAAATCATATAAAATAAAGTCAAAATAAATTAAGTTATGAAGCTTACTGTTGCTTTATGCCTTTATGTGTAGCTTGTAATTCATATAAACCCTGACGAATAAGGGCAACCTCCTCGGATTGTTGTTGAACTATAAGTGAGTTAAAAAAGATAGAAAAAAAAAAGTAAGATGAAAATTGATATAAACAAGAATCGAGAATAATTTAATAATAATTTTAACATTAGATCGATCGAGCACTGTCGTACAGTGCGACAACGGAACGTCATCGAATATATCATAACGCAGTAAATAAGTAAATACAAGCAGTGAATACAGAAGTAAATTAACCAATAGTAAGATAACACAGAAGAAATTGAATGAACACATCAAATCGAAATTGAACGAATTTCATTTAATTCAAACAAATAAATATAAAAAATTAAAAGAATTAAAAGAATCATAAAGAAAAACCAATTTAGGGGGGAGGGAAGATAATAAAGGAAATAGAATCACAAACCTTTATGTTCAAATTCTTCGCGCTGTATTTTATAAGTCATAGCCTCCTGACTAAGACTTTCATATTCATTTTTTAAAGCTTCTAAGAGCTCGTTGAAACGACTCGGACCGCTGGTTCCGCCAGGAACAATCTGCCTATGATTGTATATATTCGACATTGGGAATTTGGTTACGCTCCAGGAGAAATTAAAAGTTTTTCACACTAGCACTAAAATTTGACGTTATTATCTCCCTTGACTCTTCTTTTTGCCCCGCACAGAGGAATTAACTAAAGAAATGAGCGAGATTGGTTTGGTAATAGTTTATATAAAGCGAGAGAGGTAAGCAGCTGTTGTGATACACAGCGGAGGTTAAGAAAAACGGAAAAGAGAAATAAAATAATAAGGTACATATTATATCATTTGATAAATGAAGTAAAGTTACAAATATATAAATGTATATATTTGAAAAAAAATTTTCTCCTTTCTCCTTTTTTTTTTTTTTCCTTTCAAATGCGGTAGTTTGAAAAGAAACAGACAAAATAAGGAATAGAGAGCTAGCTAGATTTCGGATGTGAAAAGGGAAAAGTTGTAGTGGAACTATTACTTACAGTAGATTAGATTGAAGGCAAGCTGGCAAAGACTCAAGAGACACAGGTAAGAGTAAGTAGGATCAAACAAAAGTGGTTTGTTTTCCTTTTTCTCAAAGGAGAAATGCAAAGAAAGTTTGGGGGTCTGCACTGACTCTGGAAAAAAAAAAATTGATCAAAAGGGCACACAGAAACTCTAACAGTTAATGGCACAAACGAATCTGTTACGTCATTTAAATCAACGCTACCATACCACAAAAGGAAGAATGTAGATTACACAACATAAAAAATCCAATATAAAGTTAATATAAAACAGATGATAGTAGCGTATCTAGTAGTTTATGAACACAGCAGGAGTCGGTGCATGAATTCCACAGGGACCTGAGAAGGAACTGAGACAGAAAAATTTTTAAATATATAGATTCATGCAGATCCGTGGCTCTGAATAAGAAGCACAACGCTGATATGTTGTGCGAAAGTTGCATTGTTTATTTTATTGTAATATTGATATTGTGTTGTTTATGATAAATCGCCGAATTACTTTGATGAAAGACAAAGTCTGCAACGATGCGTAATACCTATGTCAGTAAGCTAACAGCTATCACACTATACATAATAGTTAACATTAATTTTAACAACTCCACAAAAAAAGATTCAAATATGCAAAAACAAAAAATTTCAAATATTCACGAATTTCATAAATCTGTTACACGATTAATTTATACACAAAATAGGGACCATTGTAAGATCCCTTTGACAATCAAATCTTCCAAAAACATGCTGATAACCCGAAAAAAAAGTGATCAAATTTCTACCCTTAATTATTTCTAAATTATTTCTAAATTATTTCTACGTAAATTCTTGTGATTCCGACGATAAAAACAAATAAACCATTTTATGACTTCTTTTCTATAAATTAATAAAATTCCATTCTGCGTTTCCATAAACATGTTAGAAATGCTTTTTAAGACATTCTATCCTGTAATATATGGTGATAGGTGCGTCTTTTGGTTCTATTGTGTGATGCAGGTGTTCTATTAACATCATTCTCCCGATATGTCATCAATGCGCCACATGGCAATAATGATTTGGCGATCCGCAGTATCAGTATCTTTGATGACTTAATCTTTAATAATCTTTAATGACTTATCTTTAATAATGATTTACTGATTAATCAATATTTTCATATTTTCATATTTTCAAAGTTTTTTTTTTTAAATTATATTTTATTATATTTTATTTTATATTATTTTATATTATTTTCTATTATTTTATATTTAATTAGATTTAATCAGATTTGTCAAATTCCCTATTTCATAATCTGAAGTTGTTTTAACGTCGTTTATCGCGTTTATTTGGTTTATTATTTCGCTTAGCTTATTTATTTATTTCGTTATTTATTCGTTAATTTTATTTATTTCGCTAATTATTTCGCTAATTATTTCGCTAATTATTTCGCTAATTTATCTATTTATTTCATTATTTACTTCGTTATTCGTTATTTATTCCGTTATTTTTTATTTTTTTTTTTATTTCGTTAATTTTATTCATTTTTCATATTATTCATTCTATTAATTCCGTCGATTCTGCTCGAACAATCTAGAGAATAAACCTCAACATCCTTCACAATCCTGATCAGTATAACTACAAATTGACCGTCACGACATTAAAAGACTTCCCATTCAGTTTTTTACTACGCAAATCAAATGAAAGAGATCCTTACTCTAGAATTTTGTAAATTCATTGCTAGTTTGTATAAATTGCCACTCGTCGTCTTCCAATTGTCGCACAGCTTTGCGTAATAAGGCTATGTTTTGCTTCAAAGGATCTATATGACTAGAAATAATAAATATAAATGCCTTTACTTAAACTATTCATTATAAATGTTTATTGCATACCATTCTCAACTTGGTCTTGATTTGGATGAATATTTTCATTCTCATCATCACAATAATCGTCCTGATCTTCTAAATTATTGACACTAATTTGATTATCTTGATCCATGCCCGATGATTCTATGTTTATTGGCTCTAGATAAATGCCTTTGAAATTGAAATTTCATTGTGAGTTGTCAGTTTTAGTAGTTATAGTTAGTAGTTATAGAAGTGCTTATTATTTAGATTCCAACAAAAGCTAAATAAAATAAACCTGTCGAATCTTCTAATTCCTCTATATTTGCAATCGGTGAATCATTTATTCCAGGTATTTGTATTTCTGGCGTTTCTTGTGGCGAGGGACTCGAGGAACTAAGCGCTGGTGAAGTGGACGAACTATCAAATATTACATTATAAGGCCTTGGTCTATCGCTATCACTGTCGCTTTCATAGCTTGGAAAGGCATTTACGAAATTCGGGTTGGTTGGTACTGGCGGTCGAATCGTTACTGGTCGCCAAGGTGTTCCGGAAGGTTGTGAAAATCGGTTCCCTCGATTAGTATACATTACAGAGACGTTGTTGATCAAGGTTCTAATGTAATTGGTCATCACATGCATATTAAATATCATATGTTCACGTAGATCGCGTGTATATCAGATATTATTGCGTAACTTTTCTCACAATCATGTATCGTGTTTATCTCTATCTACATGATGTAACATATGATCTTCCCTTTACATAAATTTGTCTTAGAATTAATAGAGTTAGTATTCGTTTATTTGATCTAGCCTAATATTGGTTTAGATTTTATAAAAGTAAATTCCGGTTTTATATTGTATTACATGTTTTAATCTTTTAATCAGAATTATTTAACCTATTTAGATATATTTTTAAATTTTATATATATACTGTATATATTATATATACGATTTTTAATAAGTTTGTTAAATTATATATTTTTTTAAAGAACATTTCTATTTGAACAAGGGTTACTGTACTTGGGTATTATAGAAAGCCAACTAGGTTATGCGATCAGGTGTAACGTAAAATTCATTCTTTAAAATATTGTCGATATCTCAAAATTACGATTATAAAACCACTTTTTGGCTTCTAATAAAAAAAATTTTTTTGCAAAATATTAATATAAATTAGAGAATTTTTTATGTGTATATACTAGTGATTTGAACCGTTTAAAAATCATCGACCTACTAACTGACCCAGTTGATTCGGGTCAACCAGATTATTCAGGTTAACCGATTTAGCTATATTAATCATATAAACCAAGTTATTTGGATTAACCGAGTTATCAAAGCTAATTGAACCCACCTAGTATTACTGTACTATCAAATCAGATATGTAAGTTGTAAAATGTGGATTTGGGTTACTATGTTTTTGCAACTAAAATACTATTTTGGATTAGGTTTAAAACTAAGTTTTTATAAAGAATAATAATTTACAACAATAGGTTTAAAAATATATTTAACTTTATTTTATTTTATTTTTTTTTTATAGTCAAGGTTAGCCTCTTTGGCTTATTGCTTTTATTAGATTTATTAGCATCATGTGGTGTCTTTTTCAAGGGGGTCCCAGACAAGTATATTCTGATGAGGATATATTCTAGCTATATCTGTGTTTTTTAAGCATCTAATTTAAGTAGTTTGCTTATTACTAGGTTTTACACTAGATGCTGTACCTATAACCTACCTATTATTTGAGTTACCCAATTAAACCTTCTGATCTGAGTTTCCTATATCAATCTGTCTAACCAATTACCTAGAATATGCAATATATTAGTTAGTTCAAGTTTTAGAATTGTTGTGTTTCACCTATAAGACAGCTATTTTTGATGTATTTTTGAATGCATCACATGTTAGAGTAGTTTGATATCCACTATTAACATAATATCTAGTTTATTTCAGTAATTTATATTGAGTTTGAGAACAAGTACTTGTAAGCCAAAGCTGTTATTATTACTTACTTAGCTCTTGTATAGTTCATTCAAATCTTAATACTTTTTCTTCAAGACAAATGATATTTTCTCTTTCAGTACCTTTTAGCCAGTTTTCTAAGACTACCAATTCAGATAGCCTGGAAAGAATACCAGTCCCATGATATTTGTTAATCTTTTTTCTCAAGTTAATACTCAAGCTAGCAATTTGGTTGGTGGAGCAACTTGTCAAATCTTTTGTTGCATCTAGTTATCTGGCTTTAGGAAAACCTATTCTAATAGCCACTATCAAAAGTTTGTACTACATCTCTATTCAGATTTTGCCAAGCAGATATCTATCTTTTTGGTTTCTTAGATTAATATAATTACAAAAGACTTATTTTAGATTTGTACTACCTAATGCTAGCTTGCATGCCTTTATATAACTTATATATTGTATAAATGCCTTATAATCTCCCAATTTTATTGATGATACCAAAGTTACAAAAATCCTATTCAACTAATTATCAAAAGATAATAGCTATTATATATATCAAGAAATTTTTAAATAAGGTGCATATCGATTACTATCTGCAAAGATGATTGGCATCGATTTATATCGATTATAATCAATTATAATCATTCAAATCTAAATGATTGCAATTGATTGTAATCGATATTAATCAATTGCATCAATCGATTATAATCGAGATAAATTAATGCTAATCATTCCTGCAGATGGTAATCGATATGCACCTTATTTAAAATTTTCTTGATGTAAGCAGAATA